GCTAGACCAGCACTGTCCAATAGAAATATAATGGAATCCTCATATTAATTTTAATTTTCCTAGTAGTACTATTGAAAGGAAAGTTTTTTTAAAAGGTTAAATTAATATTAAATATATATTTTGTTTAACACAATGTATTCCAAAGATTATCATTTCAATATGTAATCAATATTTTAAAAGTTATTATTAATGGAATATTTTACTTTTTTTTGTACTAAGCTTTGAATTATGGTGTGTATGTCACATTTATAGCACATTTCGAGTCATACCAGCCACCTTTCAAGTGGTTGATAGCCACATGGGGCTAGGGATTACCACATTGGTCAATGCAACTATAGACCATGAAAGGGTAATTGACTTGGCTCATGAATTGACTGGAGGTGGGGAAGGGACCAGCTCTATGTTGAAACTTAAAGGTCTATACTTAAGATTTGGAGGATATTGCTGCTTTGGTTTTTTGTTTATTTGTGTTTTTTTTTTTTTTTTTTTTTTGCTTTGATTGGCTTTGTTTTCCTGGACTATCTCAAGTCTAAAACAACCTATTTTGAATCATAGTCTCAAAACTGAAGTAGATTCTGTGATTGTTTAGGCAGGGGCTCCTAACCAAACATTCAGGGAACTTCATTCAGTTTTCTGGTATAATAGGTTCCTGCAGGTCTAGTTTAGTAGTAATGGCAAATAAAGTCTTACTAAAATCTGTTTCTCTAGAGAGGATTTTTTTTTTAACATAGGATAATTAGACTAAATCTTATCCTTAATATATATTTTTTAATGTTTATTGTTAAATTCATACATACTCAAGTTGCTAAATGAGAATTGCCTGAATTCTAGAAGAAAAAAATTGATCTTTGTTCAGAATTGAAGTTTACTGCAATATTTATCTATTTTCCCTCAAATAATAAATTAATTTGAGTCAAATATTATGCTTTCCATTGGCTTGGGAGAATTTGATTTAGTGCCTTGAGCCACTGACCTGGTAAAAAAATCTATAGAAACATCTGGTGCTGTGAAATAAAAGACACTAATACAATGAACACTCATTTTTCCCCAGATGCCTATAGTAAGCTGTATTCATTATTCCTATGTTAAATGATTATATGTCTTTAGGTCTTCTCTAACCCCACCCTCAGGAACTTTAGAAATGGATATATGCTAAACCATACAGATTTCACCTGATTCGTGACTATGCTGCAAAAGCTGTTGAACATTTAGTAAAAATGCAGACTTTCCTGGGTACCTTTAAAAAATATAAATGCCTATTGTCTTACTTGTTGCTATGCCACCATATTTCTCTATGAATGCTCACCACAGTGTGGGATGTATTATACAGCATACAGATAGGCTGAGTTTTTACCCATAAGAAAATTGTCTGTTTGATTTTTATCTTTATGTCTCTATTTAGATTGTCAATGTCAGATAGCGAAAGCAAAAATGGAGCAGAAAAGGGACAGAAGTGTACTTTGGGATTCCTGCAAATAGTGATATGCACTGATAGTGTATGGATGATAGTTGTCACCTTGTATATTGTAAGTCTACTTTTGGTAGCGCATCAGAAACAAGATAAAGGCCATATTGCTTACAGCCTATTATGAGTATAAATGGTAGGGTACAGTCTAGCCTATAAATTGGCAAATTAACCCCTGACATACCTTAATAATCTGTAAGACATCTTAAAATGAGCAAAGTGGATCAATGACCTTATTTTTTTCCCTACTGTAAATTTAGAGATGGTACTCTATGATTAATTTAGGTCAAAATCTCACAATGACCTCCATTTTTAAATAAAGCATTTTCTTTCTCACATACTACTAAGAACTCTTAGGCCCTCCTCTTATGTAGAGAGTGAGGTCATGTAAGCACTGTAAACAAGATTTTACAGAGATCTCTAGCTTAAACAGAACAGTGGATCAGTGTTAACAGCCTTATAATTGAGTCTGGGAGTGAAGACTGTGAAGGAAAGGGTGACAGGGATTTCTGGGATTATAAGAAGTTTAAATAAATTAGATAATAAGAGACTCTTCTTGAGTATTTCTTAGACATATCTGAAAAAATCTTACAAAGAACTTAAGCTTAATTGATATATATGAAAATGCTTTTTGCCTAAGAATCCAAATGTAATACTTGAAAACCAAAGGATAACATTATATATTTTGAGAACTCCGTTTTATAGAATAGTACTTCGTTTTCTTTCCCAGAGAATCTTGTGTTTGTCCCACTGAGAAAAAGAACATGTGGCTATAGAACGATCTCTTGATCCTTGGACAAAACTGAGAGGAAAAAAAAAGTCTAACAAGTGCATCGTTTTGCAGTAAATTAGATCAGATTTCCGCATCTCCGCACTCAGTCTGTGAGCTGACAGTTCAGTAGAATGTTCCCTTGTAAGGTTCGCCCTCTTAGGAAAAGGGGCAATAATTCATCATTAGGATTTCAGAGTCCAGGTGTAGATGGAAACTGATGGAGCCTCCAGTGAGGCAGGGAAAGTGCGTGGAAGAAGAAAATTTTATCTGAAGCCTAATTCCCTGGTTACAGCAGAGAATAATTAAGATAATATTGCTTCAAGAGTCCTGTAATGATTAAAAATCACATATGCAGAATCCATAAATTGGAGGGCAACAAATTGGAAGGCTGTAGTATCAGAGAGCTGTTTTGTGCACATTGTACTCGAAAGTATACCAGGGGCAGCGCACACCACAGGCAGCCACCAGAGACCGGGCCCATTCCAAGGACTTTGTTTAGATGTAACAAATCATTTGTCTGTTATTAACCCAGAGCTTGTAATTATGCAGATTGCCATAGATTTTCCTGGGCCTGGAAGTGAGATTGGGGGTTGTTCACAGTATAGCAGGCAGCTCAGGGCTGGCCATGCATTACTGAACTTGCCACATTTATCATGTTGACTGATGGCAGCAGAAGCAGGTCTCAGGTCCCAGTGGTTAATGTAGTGGGTAATTAACTGTCATTTGCCTAGTAATAGGCTGATGATCAATGGTTTGTGTGGAAACAAATTCTAATCAGGTAGCTGATAAATGCTCAGCTAGCGAGAGCAATTGAAATGGGGGGAAACTACGTCCAGAATTTCAAAATGGCATTGTGTGTGTGTGTTTATTAGGTACAAGCAAACTGCGTAGTTCTTATAAAAACTGCTTGCTCTCATATTAACCGTATTTTATACCCACACATGTATCTATATTCATGGAATAAAGAACTTTAAATTTTTTCCTTATTTCTTAAAAAATATTCAAGAACGGAAGAAACAAATAGCACACCTAAGTGATATGACTCCTGAAGAGATCACGTGAAGCACGCGGAAAAGTGAATTTGAGATGCTAAAGCCTTCTTCTTACAAAAGGAGAGAAGGAAAGCGTTAGTTTGGTTTGCAGTGGTTTCATTTTTAACGATGCCAGTAGGAGATGCAAGGTATTACATTTTCAGTGACGTTCTCCTTCAAGAAATATTATTTCTCAAAAGGTGGATTGAAAACTGAGACCACCAAGGTTATTGGAGTTACAGTCAAAGAAACATATTAAAATGTTCTTTAAAATTCTGTAAGGAAAATAAGTGCCTAACGATTATGCCTTTAATTTTCTTAACTATAAACCTTGCTTACTTTTTTTTTTGAAATCAAGCACACACATTATGCTGGCGAACTGTTTAAAAAGCATTTACAGTTTCTCCCCTCAAGGAGCTTATGGTCTTCAAGAAACAATCTAACAAAAGCCTGAGCATAAACATTTATTACACGTTTTGCCAGATACTTGGAAACTATTCTCACAACTCTTTCCAACAATTGTCATTAGCCTGGTAAGAAGAAATAGTTATAAACTTGAAAATGAATATGCATGCCTTAAGCAAAGACCAGTCTTTGGAGTATAAAGTAATAAGAAGAGAAACTTCACATTTGCGCATAATCTTTAAATTCAATAAAATGAGAGGCTAAGATTTTTGAAAGTACGTTTTTATAACTAAAATGAGTTTTCTGCATAGCACCTTTGAATTCATTAGTTTAGAACTGCTTTTAATTTTGTCTTTCCCATGAGGGCCATTATATTTTCTCCTGTCAGCCTGATGCTGGAGAAAAAAGAAAACTGGCACATGTGGTGTTTTTCATCTAGTTTCCTTCCTAGTTAAAAAGTGCATTAACTACTATGCACAGAATATTATTTATAACAGTTCTTCAAAACCACTAACAACTTTAAATAAACTTGGCTTAAATGTTGCTGGCGCAAATGGGAAAAATATTTTCTTTCCTCCCATTATGAAACTATATAGACATTTTATTTTGTACTATTTTTTTAGGTCATTACAATAACTATTTTCAGGAATCTACAGCAAATAGGATTTTTTTAAACACCTTTTTTCCCCAGCATTCCAATGGCTCTTACAGTACATTATGTTTCAATACCTAGTCTACCTATATCTAGTTTACAGCCTCATTTACTTTAATGTGCTACCGGAATAACATAATCATAGCTATCTATGGTATAGGGCCATAAGGTGCATGCACCTCTAATATTTCTTGACTATTTAAACGGCTTGTTCGTAAGTGTTCTTTTAATAATAATGGGAAACCTTTTAGTAACTTGATGTTAAAAAAAAAAAGATAGTGAGTCTTTCAAATGAGTTTCTTTCCCAAATAAAATGTTTAATATGTGGCAATAAGATCAAAGTTACACTGCTTTAACATTTATGTTATGCTCTAAGAAATGGAAGATTTTTGCCATGGATTCAACCCAGTTGACTTTGGTATGTGCGTGATCATGTAAACTGCCTAATGTATTTGTCTCTTCCTTTTCTTCTCAAACAAGATGTGTCTTTCATCAAGAAAGGTCAAGTAAGAATATGTTGCAGAAGAATATTTGTGTGTGTACGTAGGATAAGACTCACTTGTTTACATCATAAGGCATTGTGTATTGATAACTTTACAGGGTATATTAGCGTCTTCTCTATTCACAATCTCAGAGTTCCCTGTAAGAGTATGAAAAAGATGTTTCTTGTTCTAGGCTCTTCGGTGTAACGGGAAACTGTGCTGCCTGTAGTAAGCTCATCCCTGCCTTTGAGATGGTGATGCGTGCCAAGGACAATGTTTACCACCTGGACTGCTTTGCATGTCAGCTTTGCAACCAGAGGTAAGCAGATTTCATTTTGGTTTCTAAAAAATGGGAAACCTCTTTTAGCTGATGGATTATTTTATAGGTGGAAATTATATTACTACACTTAAAGCAATTAATTTCGGCATTTCTGTTTTCTGCAAACACTCATACCATGCCAGGAACCAGCCACTGAGGAGGAGAAAGCTCTTAAGACGATACTTCTAGCTGAAGGAAGCACATCCTATAACAGCATATGATAAAAAATGAAAACCCCTCTGTAAACTTTTAGTCTTCTTCTTATTCCTTCTTTTCTTTATTGATTTTTTTGTCTTTTAAAAAGTAGATTTAAAATATCTTTCCCTTTTTTGTACTACTCTGAGCAAGAACATTTGCACTACGGCAAATACACAGGAATTTGTGGCATGGATTTTATTTTCATCCTTGTTTTCGTATTTATAGTGGCCCTATCTCGGGATTTCTTATCTTGAATTTTAACCTTGTTCTGTATGTACCTTTTCAGTTGTTTCAAATCTCGTTGGGAACAAGGCATGATATAGCTAATAATTAAACAATTATCAACATTAGAGAGGCAGCACTGGAGAGTAGAAGGAATATCATACTGGGAATCTGAAAACCTAAAGTCTAGTCTTAGCTCTGCCACTATCAGCTGTGAGACCTAGAACCAACCACTTCACCTCTCCGGACCTCAGTTTTCTCATTGGTAACATAGGGAGCTGGATTAGTCAAGCTCAGAGAACCCTTTCAGCTCAGAAGTATTATGACTCAGTCCCATTTTTCCTTATTGAAATTTAAAAAGGTAATTTCCAGTGAAAACAAAATACTGCTAGTCCCTGCTTTATGTGAGAAATGTAGAGAATGGTAGAATGTTAAAATGTGTATAGCATTAAAAAATTTAATGTTTTGGAAATTAATGCACTTGATGGGTTTTTTAAATAATATTTTATTGAGTTCTCGGTGAAAGTTTACACTGCAAGTTAGATTCCCATTTGACAATTTTCATTTGATGGATTTTAATGAAAGTAAATTCAGTAAGAGGATCTGAGAAAACTCCTGGACATAGTGGATGTCTTAGTTATCTAGTGCTGCTATAACAGAAATACCACAAGTGGATAGCTTTAACAAAAACAAATTTATTCTCTCACAGTCTAGGAGGCTAGAAGTCCAAATTTAGGGCACCAGCTCTAGGGGAAGGCTTTCTTTTTCTGTTGGTTCTGGAGGAAGGTCCTTGTCATCAATCTTCCCTTGGTCTAGGAGCTTCTCCAAGTAGGAACCTCAGGTCCAAAGGATTCACTCTGCTCCCAGCGCTGCTTTATTGGTGGTATGAGGACTCCATATCTTTCTGCTCCCTTCTCTCTTTTATATCTCAAAAGAGATTGATTTAAGACAAAGCTAATCTTGTAGTTTGAGTCCTGCCTCATTAACATAACTGCCTCTAATCCCACGTCATTAATATCATAGAGGGAGGATTTACAACATATAGGAAAATCACATCAGATGACATAATGGTGGACAAGCACACAATACTGGGAATCATGGACTAGCCAAGTTGACACACGTTTTTGGGGGACACAATTCAATCCATAACAGTGGATAATCAGTAAATATTAGTTGAGTCAAGCTCTGTCTTTGTATTTTTCCATGGAAGGTACGTTCAATGCAGAGTCTTCTTATGAGACCTTCTAGGGTAATAGAATGAACATGATGTTTAGAGTGAGAACTGGATTCAGCTTCCATTCCCATCACGTATTAGCAGTGTGATCTTGATTATGTTTCTTAATCTCTCTGAACTTGGTTTCTACACCTGTAAAATGGAGACACTAATACCCATCTTGAAGATTTTGAAAATGAAATGAAATAATGTATATTAAGTACCAGGAACAGAATAGAGTCTCTAAAATTAGTTCTTTTACCTTGATATTTAGAATTTACTTTTACCAAATAATATTCCACTAAGTTGGTTTTCACACAATATGTGTATCACATTAGCATGTAGATGTTCAGAATGTAGCCCTACATACCTTACAATATGCAACTTACCGAGAAAATAATCTTATAACATTTTGATTCTTCCCAACAAATGTTTGTGATCAAAGTAGATTAAGTCAGACTATGGTGACATTTAGCCAAAAATAAATTGGCAGATGCACATGTTTTTTTGTAAGGACATGGATACAAAAACATGTATATCCATACATATATACAGACACATTTATATGTATGTGTACATATTTTAAAGGTGTTGGTAGTAATTTAGAATATTTTTGTTTACTTGTCACATTGATGAACTAATAATATCAACTAATAATATAGTTATCTTGATGCAACAATAACATTTACTGCTTCTCTACTTATAAAAGGTTACATATTCATAGTAGAAAATTAAAAAAATAAAAAACACAAAGAACATTGTCTTATGTCCCACTATTCTCAAAGAAAATATGTTAATATTTTGGTGCATATACATCCATACATTTTCCTATGCATATATATGACAAATGATATATAGTGTATAGTTTATATTATACCCCTATTTAAATAGCTTTTAAAAAAGTAACGGGGTGTCTGTATAGCATCCTAATATTTAATGTTTGGACTTTTTCATTTAATATATATTCTGTGCCTTTTTACCTCCCATTAAAAATTCTTATATTTTAAGGTTTTATGTGTACAGTTGTATGGATAAGGCATCACTTAATTAGTGTACTAGCATCAGATGTAGAGCTTATTTTTTTTAAGGTTTATCATACCAATATTATAAATATAACATGGACTCCATAAATAAACACTCAAATCTATGTTAGAATGAATTCACAGGAGTATAATTAATTGGAAAAATTATTTAACATTTTGACGAGTTATGTTATCTACATTGCCGAAGTGCTCTCCAGAAAATTTATACCAATTATTGTCACACCAGTAATGTGCAAAATTATTCATTTCTTCACATACTGTCTAACACTGAGAGTTATTATTATTTAAAAAGAAATCCTTGTCACTTGGAAGGATGAAAGCTGTCTTTTTATAATTTTTAATTTAGCATTTATTTGATTATTTGAGAATTTCTTTTTTAGGGAATTGCCTGTTCATACCTTTGTCCATTTTTCTATTGGGGCAGGCTCACCTATTTTATCCATGTTTTATACAGAAAATTAAAACATCATTCAAGTGCTAAACCCAACCTAAATTCTATCATGATGCAAAGTAACTGTAGGTTGTTAATGCTATTTACAAATCATATTTCAATTTTATTCCACCATTGAAATAAGAAGTTGCATTCACAGTTAAGTCTGTCTCCTCAGTAGAACTCAGTCAAGTAAGACAAACACTCCTAAATTTTGACTCTAAAACTGTTTACGTTCTTATTGCTGCAAGGTACTATTCTAGCATCATTATTAAAGTACGTAATATATTTCTGTGTGCACTTCATTTATTACCTGCCATAATGGCACTGATATTCTTTAGTGCTGGTTATGTACAATTAGCACTTAGTTATTGTCTTATCACTTCAGCCCCTACAAGACGAACTTCTTTAATGCAAGAAGTCAGCTAATCTTCATCAGTCAAGCAAAGCAGACGATTTTTGTTACCCTGAGTACAGAAGGTTTCAAACATAGGAGATTCTCCTTTACTATGAAGTTTGCTTGGGAAATTTGCTCTCCAGTAAAGCCATACTGATGCATGAGTCTATACTTTCCGCAGGTAAATCTTGTATTGCACCTTTTTAAGTGAGACATAAGCGGTAGTTATAGGCACTTTCCCTTAAGCAAACTTTATTGACATCTGAAATTGTGGAATTATAATGCTTATTAATTTTATTTAGCAATGACTTCATCTTAACTTTCAATTTAAAATATCATTAATATCCAAAGCATTTCCAATTTTTTTTTCAGTGTTGTTGTTTTTAGTTGCTATCGAGTCACCTCCAACTCATGGCAACCCCACGTGTGCAAAGTAGAACTTTGTTCTGTAGAGCTTTCAAGGCTGTGACCTTTTGGAAGCAGATCATTAGGCCTGTCTTCCGAGGTGCCTCTGGGTGGGTTTGAACCACCATCAGTTTGGCTAGTAGTCGAACGCTTAACCATTTGCGTCACCCAGAGATTCCTTTTTTAAAATAGTAGCAATGATAACCCTTCAGGATTGGTTGTCCCTGTACAAATCATCTCTGTTCTTTTTAGAAGGGTGTGTGTAAAAATTGAGTCCTGAATACAAAATCTAAAAGTCTCTATTATAAAAGGAAACCAGAGAAGGTTGTCTTGAACCTCTTTTATGATCACTTGGTACTCATTCAGAACTGAAAATTTTTGTAGAATGGGTTAATTCCTTAAACGTAAATAAGCCTTCCTACTCAGGAAATTCTGTAAAACTGAGGGATGGTTTTATAAGAAAAGGAAAGGCCATGTTTGTTTATTGAAAAAAAATTACCCCAACTATGTAGAATAGGAAACCCAGGTGGCGTAGTGGTTAAGAGCTATGGCTGCTAACCAAAAGGTCAGCAGTTAGAATCCACCAGGCGCCCCTTGGAAACCCTATGGGGTTCTACTCTGTCCTATAAGGTTGCTATGAGTCAGAATCAACTCGATGACAATGAGTTTTTGTTTTTTTTAATGTAGAATTATATTTCATTATCTTTTATTAAATACCTTCTGTGTGTCAAGCACTGTGCTAGCCTCTGTGGACACAGAGGTGAATGAAATCTGATTTCTTTCTTAGAGAGGTTCAGAGCTATGGGAGAGACAGGACGTCAAAGACTCACAGTACAATAAAATCAATGCTAAACAGATCTATCCTGAGGGAAGAGAGATCCATCCTTCTTGAAGTCTTAGGGGGGCGACAAAGGGCTGATGTGCTGGGTTTTAAAGAAGGAACTCCCTAAGCCTGGGTGGGATATAGGAAGTGTGTCTAGTGGGGGGTGGGGAAGGTGAGGAAACCAGAGAACAGTGAAGGAAGGGTTTTCCAGGCAGAGGGGCAGCATGCGAAGGCATGGAGATATGAAAGTATTTGACATGTTCAGGGAA